AATTCTTGTTGTTATTTTTTATCATTTACACATTTTAAATAAATCTTCCATGGTGCTTGGATGGCAGCTACAGAGTTTGGAAAGCTTGAGTGTGGCAGTGGTCAGCAGTACATGTTCGTTTAGAGGGTTAACACTTGATAGGTCTAAATGAATGAAAAAAATTGCAATAATGATAGAAATATAAAAATCTGGTCTTCAAAGGATAATTTATGGATTACACAACAGCTGAATGTTGACTGCCTATGGAATCACCTCTATATGAAACCATGAGTATACTGCAAATCTTTGACAGATTTGAGATCCAATTCAGACCTTTATAATGTCCAGTTTGTTTTGGTGGCATAGGGTGGATTTTGCCAGTTTAAATCAGCAACATGTAAAAAACACATTTTAAGTCAGAACTAATTTGTACCATTCCAGACTAGCACATGTTGGCTGAATAAATGCCCCAAATATCTTTTTTCCTTTTAGAAACTCAGTATCAAAGATGAAATAAATGTTTGTTTCACAAAATAAATCTCAAATGTCTTTGTAATTTTTTTTGTCCCAAAAACATCACTTGAAGTATTTCACTTTTTTGTCAGTTTTGTTTCATTTATTTTTACTTGAAATGTATATAAAGTGCTTTTCTACCTAACCTTTCCTTCATCCCTGCTTCCTGTTTTCCTTCTCTCCAAATCCAGGGGAATAGGCGTTGCTGTTTCCACCCATTTCCTTAAATATACATTTCAGCCTAACCTCCATCTCCATCTTCTCTCCCACTCATTTTAACTACCTTCTTTATCCCACCAGCTCAACCCAGAATCCCCCACCCCTTTGTGTTTTTATTTATTTATTTTAACTCTATAGACCCTTCATTGCTAAACACTTAATTTTCTATTGACATTTTGACACATTATAGGTTGTCGTACTTACATAAAATGAATAATTCTGATTATTTCCATGTCCAGCAAAAGGTCAGTGCAAAACCCGTCCCATGGACCTAGTGTTCATCATAGACAGCAGTCGTAGCGTTCGCCCCTCAGAGTTTGAGCAGGTGAAGGTGTTTCTGACAAAAGTCATTGACGGGCTGGACGTATCACCCTCCGCCACCCGGGTTGGAGTCGTCAACTACGCCAGCAGGGTCAAGAATGAGGTAAACATCAATTTCCAACAGATTGGTAACACTCTAGGATGCTATACAGTAGAATTTTATCTTTTATTATGTCCAAAATAATTGGACTTAAATTTTCCTTTTATATAAAAGACAAAAAATTGTAATTAATAAATAAATTAAGGCAGGGCAAATTTATTTGTATAGCACAATTCAGTACGTGGATAATTAAAAATGCTATACATGAACTAGATATTAAAATAGAAGAACTATAAAAGCAGATAAAAGCAAAAAAAACTTTTTTAAAGCAAAACAATTGGATCACTAACAGCATTGTTTTAGATTTAGTCATAGTCTTTAGGACAAAAACTCTTATAAGTCTTAGATGCATTTTAGTCATTACTGTATGTTATAGTTCTAGTCGGTTTTAGTCGACTAAAACATAAAAAGGTTTTAGTCTAGCTTTATTTACTTTAGTCACAGACAGACAAGCTAACAAAATGTACACTAAAGGAATGGTTTTAAACATACAAGGTTTCCTTTCAAAAGCAAACGCGTCCTGATTTACTATGAATTATGCAATACACACATATTAATGAACTCAGAAAAGAATTTCCTCCTTTGTCGCTCAAAGTAGATTTAAATTCACAGGGTTTTTTATTTAAAAAAATTACAGAGATAACCTACATGCCAATCCAGACCTAAGCTGAATGAATATGCTAACTAAAATGTTGAAATATTTAAAGGAAATAGATCACATTTAAATAGATAGAAACAAGAAAAATGAGAGAGAAATATTCACAGATCTATGTACCTTTTCATCTGTGATATAATTGAGAGATTCCTCTTGGTAGAAATTAAAGAAGGTTTTGCATCACCTCTTGTGAGCTGGAAGAAATAACATTTTGACAGTTAGACAAAGGGATTTTTTACGCTTTGCAGAGGATGATCAGCCACATAGTTTATTAAGTAGCGAGAGAGCCATTCTGCTGAGAGCAAACACTCAGAGTAGATACTGATACTACTTAGCTTGTTTAACAGATTAGGGCACAAGAATGTATTTTAAATGTCTGACGACCACCAGCTAAATTGTATTTAGTCTTGTCTCATTGTTGAAAGCTCAAACTTATGATTAATCATGTTCTAATCATCAAAGATCCATGTTTAGCTCATCAGTTTTCATTATCCTCATGAAAAAAGGAGCGTTGACAAAATCATTTCGGTATCGCTAAAGAGAAAGCAACACTTAAATCATAATCTTAAACTAATAATATCTCAGTTAGCAGTTTAACTTCAACTGTAAAAGGCAGTTCTGTAACAAATGGGTTTTTAATGTTGACTTCAAAGAACTCAGACTTTCAGTACTTTTACAGTCTTCAGGGAGTTTGTTTCAGATCAGTGGAGCATAGGAACTAAATGCTGCTTCTCCAAGTTTGGTTCTAGTTCTGGGTATACAGAGTAGGCTTGAACTAGAAGACCTGAGTGGTCTAGGAGGTTGATACACTGACAACAGATCTGTTATGTATTGAGGTGCCGATCCATTCAATGATTTGTAGACTAACAGAAGGATTTTAAAGTTGATTTTCTGAGCGACAGAGAGTCAGTGAAAGGACTTCAGAACCGGGCTGATGTGCTCTACTTTGGTAGTTGTATAGTTGTAATGTAAACACAGTCTTTTTTGCCCTCTTGATATTATATATTCAGGTGATTGGATTGATTTATTTGCTGGGCAGATCACAACAACAGTCTTTATCAGATTCATTTATCGTTTTGATTTTTAAAACATAAACATAAATTTCATAGCTTTTTATTTTACCTTTTCTTTTAACCAAGTCAGGATTGGTTAGGATTGGTTCATACAAATGAGACTTGGGAACGGAAAGGTTGACTTGGTGTAGCATTTCATTTAATCTGGAATTTTATTAAACTGTGAAAATCTATATTTCTGTCCTAAGGCTGGATTATCCTGTCCAGATTTTTTTTTTTTTTTTTTTAAACTAATCTAAATTTGTCCAGATTCAAAAAGTCTTGAGATATCTCTTTACCACAGAATACTCTAAAGGTTTGGGGAAATGTGTTTTATAATACTTATCAGAGCTTTTTCTCATTGTGGATCTGTAGGTCTCTTTGAAAACTCATCAGTCCAAAACTGCTCTGGTCAAGGCTGTGAGCAAAATTGACCCTCTTTCCACTGGAACGATGACCGGGTTGGCAATCCAGTATGCCCTAAACGTGGCCTTCAGTGAGAAGGAGGGAGCTCGGGTTAAATCCTCTGATGTCAGCAAGGTAGATTTCACAACATGTAAATGTAAAAACATCCAGTTCAGATGGTTCCCTAGTGCTTATGTAATCCTTTTTATAAAAATAATCTGCTCTTACAGGTTGCCATTATCGTGACAGATGGGCGTCCGCAGGACAACGTGAAAGAAGTCGCTCAGCGTGCTCGGGATGCAGGCATTGAGATCTTCGCCATCGGTGTGGGACGTGTGGACAAGCCCACCCTGAGGCAGATGGCCAGTGAACCTCTGGATGACCATGTGGATTATGTAGAGAGCTACAGCGTCATTGAGAAGCTCACCACGAAGTTTCAGGAGGCCTTCTGTGGTAAGACAGAGGAGCTACAAATGTTTGTAGTAAGAAGAGAGAGCATTAAAGAGACATTAGTCAAGGAAAAAGAAAAGAGAAGTAAGATAATCATTACCAATATATTCATCGCAGTGGAGAAGTTTCTGCTGGCACCCTTACACTGAGGGTTAGATGTCAGGACTGTCATCTTTTATTCCCATTATTGTGTCCTCTCGTTTGTCTTCTAATGTTCTAACCCATGATTCAAGAAATAGATAAGTTAAATGCATTCTTTCTTATAAATCTCTAAATTTCCTGTCCATGGGGACATTAGGGAAGAAACAATCGTTTGAAGGGTGATTTCCTCCTCTAACAACTCTCTCATAACCAAAGAAGGGAGACTGATCCATCTGTAATTATCCATTTATCAGTGACAATCGTTGAAACTGAATTAGTGATATCCTTTGGGGATCTCAGCCTGCAGTATTGTTGGTTTTCTGCTTCAAAGTCTGCAGGGGCCCATCTTATTGCAGATGTTCCTGTTTCTTTTTTTCTTTTTTTTAAGTGTTGTACTATGAAGTTATTACCAGTAATAGTTATAGATAGAGAAACATTGTCCCTCTAATGTCTCCTGGGTTGTCAAATGGTCCTCCTCTCAGTGGGAAGTGCCTGGAACTTTCCCCTCGGGCCCGAAGGCAATGTTCCAGGGGGCATCTGACAAAGATGTCCAAGCCACCTCAGTTGGCCCTGCTTGATGAAGAGGAAAGTGCCTCTCACAGATGCTTGTACAGAAACCGGTGGCCCCTAGTAAAGGGTCCTTTACTCCTGTAGCACCCCTTGAGAGCCTCAGAACACCTTTGGATGCCTTCCCCAGGTCCACAAAACCCATTTGGACTGGTTTGGCAAACTCCTAAGCACCCTCAAGCACCCTGCAGAGGGTGTAGAACTGGTCCGGTGTTTCACATCTGGGAGGAAAACAACACTGCTCCTCCTAAAGCTGAGCTTTGACTATCAGCTTTGACAATCTCAAGGTGGATCTCATCTGTCGCGTCACATTTATTTCAAAACGTCTGTGAGCAAAATAAACATACTTGCATGTATGTTAAACTACATAAATGACAGCTCGTCATCCATAAATGAAGACGTTGGCTGGAGGCGGGACAGTGGCGGAGGCTTCTCCAATGTTTGTGGTACATGGGGTAAGTGGTAGGTGTCAGTCAAAAGGCTTCCTAACACTACTTCCGGTGGAATTGTGTCTGCAAGGCCCAATCAGGAGGAGGCTTACAGAAGAGGTTTGTCGCAGCCCAACCTGTGAAAACACATTGTCCTTTGCGCAAGGAGAAAATAACTCCGAGGGCAAAGACGCTTTAGAGAGTGCAGTCATCCTCGAGCGTGAGTGCTGGATAGAAACTCATGCGTGCAGCGAGATCCCAAGCATGATCTCAATCTTGCCTGGGTGGAGCCTGTGACAGCATGTGGCGTAGAAAAGCAGTGGATTATTTATTTCATATAGAGGCTAAAAATCCACAGTGCTGTAGTAACACTTCCCTACCGCTTATCCATTCTACATGCATGTTTAAATTAACTCTTTGCCCAAACTTGATTATGTAACAAACAATATAGGAGAAGAACAAAAGGAAAATCACTTTTGATAACAAAACATTTTTTTCAATCTAAGTTAAGTGCACCAAATGGGAGCAAATCTGAAATCAAAATATGGTGCAATAAAAGCTCTCTAATAAAACAATACTAAATTGAAATAAGTGCTTGCAGGATAAGTGTAGCATCTTGTTAGGATATCCATAGCAAAGTAGCCTGCTGTCGTTTGCAGTAAAGCTACTATTGACTGCTCATGCACACCTGTCAGTACCTTGCTTTACTAAAAGCCAAAAAGCTATTATATCTTTCAACTGCAGGTCAACTGTAGGTCACAGTGGATCATTAAAATGCTTGCAGAATTTCAAACTGACATAGTTATTTCTACCTGCTAACCCTGACCAACCACTCCCTGTGTGTGTGTGTGTGTGTGTGTGTGTGTGTGTGTGTGTGTGTGTGTGTGTTTTGCACCTTTTCATATGGTGTTCTGTGCACATTTGTTCTGTGTGCACAGAAGAACCACAAGACCTGTGTGCCACTGGGGATCATGACTGTCAGCAGGTATGCATAAGCACCAAAGCATCATACAAGTGTGGTTGCAAAGATGGCTTTACCCTAATGGATGACGGTCGCAGTTGCAGTGGTGAGTGTGTGTGTGTCTATTTAAACTTGTTTGTGCAAACTTACAAAGTGTGCTTTTTGTTTAAGATCCTCCACTCTGTGTATTTTCTGTTATCGACAGCTTGCAGCAATTCTGCAATAGACCTTGTATTTGTAATCGATGGCTCAAAAAGCGTGCGTCCTGAGAACTTTGAACTGGTCAAGAAATGGATCAACCAGATCATTGACAAACTGGATGTCTCTGAAAAAAATACTCATGTTGGTCTTGTGCAGTACTCTAGTACTGTCAAAAGTGTAAGTTTTATTTTTAAGCTCAGTTTTTCCACAACATGCCTTTTATTTCCCACTTACCAATGCTTCTATTGAAAAACAGGAGTTTCCCCTCGGCCGATACAACAACAAGAAAGACCTCAAAGATGCCGTGAAGAGAATGGAATACATGGAGAGGGGGACCATGACAGGTTTGGCTATTTATCACATTGTAAATCACGACTTCACCGTACTTCAGGGTGCCCGGCCTGGTGTGCAAAAGATTGCCATCGTCTTCACTGACGGACGGAGCCAGGACTATATTGGAGATGCAGCTAAAAAGGCAAAGCAGTTTGGTAAGAGTGATGATAATCAGTTCTAAACAATTTTGAAAGGTAAAGGTGCATGATAATTTTGGAAGGTGTGCGTGCATCGCAGGTTTGAAGATGTATGCTGTTGGAGTGGGCAATGCCTTGGAGAGTGAGCTGAAACAGATTGCCTCTGAGCCTGTTGAAGAGCACTATTTCTACACAGCTGACTTTAAGGCTATGAGCCAAATTGCCAAGAAGCTAAATATAAACGTCTGTGATGGTTAGTAGTTTTCAATATAGGCAATCTTTAAAAATACTAATATTACTGTACATGAAAAAACTAACCTTGTGCTTTAATCCCATTATAGACCCTTGTGAGTGTGACAGTCTTGTTAAGTTCCAGAAGAAAGTAGACGATGCCCTACAAGCACTAAACAAAAAATATATCCTTTATGGTGAATGACAAACTATATTCTACGAGGAATGAGGGGATTTTTTTAATAGAGAGGCACCAAGAAATTGACTGTGTAATCTTATATTTAGTCATTTTCTATTAGTGAATTCACAATCCTCAGAGATGAGGTTACTGGGGAAAGAGGACTCAAAGTTTACTGTTTTCATTTTGGGGTCAGATATTTGAAATCGAAGTCTGATGAAGATCAGGGGTGTAAGACACTAATTAAAAGACACTGTATTGCCATGATGATAAATGTTATCTGTGCAATCAAGCTGCATGGAATAGAGAGTAACAAAAACAAGACTTTACACAGAAATCAATAAGGCTGAACACATTATAGAAAACTTGCTTTTTTATTCTTTTAGGGTTTCCACATCTTTGTGTCAGGAACCATAGAAGATTAAGCAGCTTTTAGGAAGCCTTTATCGTTAGCCAAGGATTGTAAGTATTTAGGTATTACAGTTGAGGACTGTTTTTAAAAGGAGCTCAGTTGATTCTAAAGACAGTTTACAATGTGAACTCCATAACCTTGTCTTTGTTTTAAAATTGTTTAGTTAAACTCTTTATTCGGGTTTAAAGAAAAAAAAAATACCCTTACACTAGACTTGACTAAAATCTGTATCAAAATGTTAAGCTGTGCAAAAACCTAAAAACGAACATATGGGCTGCAGTTTTCATTGGTGCATCTCTAACAAAGTCAAATGTGTGTTTTATTGTCTCTATTTGCCTGTTTCTGCCCTTGACAAAATCTCACTAGAGGGTATGGCGAAGAGGATTGCCCTGCTGGAGAACAAAATTGTTTGAAGACTCCCAAGCAACTGATCTCTGTGGATCTCCACACAACCTGTTGCATTCAGCAAAATAATCGAGTGTTTATGAATACACACTTGTGCTTGTACCCTGAACTCTCCAGATCATTCAAAGCAAATCCTGCCTCCAACTCTACTGCAGATCGTTCTCCAACTTTCCTGGGACACAAACTTCCAATTACCATGGAAAGCATGCCTTTATATGTGCAAGCTCTCTGTAGGTTGATCTTCAAAGCCAGCCTGTGTGTTAATAAAAGTCTTCCCTCATAGGGAAACAGTGATGGTTAACTAAAGGGTTTATTTTTCTTGCTCACTGCCAGTAATGATGTATGCCAAATCAAATGATGCAAACTCATCGTTTTCACTTCTCTGTTTTTATTTTCACTGTCATTCTCACTTCTAACTGCATCTATTTTCTTTTAAGGTGGTTTTGAGAAATATACAGCCAAATTAATGTGAGATTAACGTCTGACAGTAAGAATATACCAATGATGTTTATTTTGCTAAATAAAGGAGGTTTGTAAAGTTAAAGTTGTCGACTAATCCTGTGTGGGAATGAAGATACATTAAACACAAAAAACAAAAATACACAGTTGAAAGTAGTTTCAGATGACTTAATAAAAAGCTGTTTGAGTATACATCACATTGCTACTGAGGTTTCAAAAATGTGTAGTGGGCTCACAAGGACTGAAAGGGCTGCCTGTCTTGAATGTAGTATGTCTTGAATTTTCTGAAGCAGCATAGTTTAGTTGGACTGTCAATTTGGATAATAATCTTTAAGCCATAAAGTGATTATCAGGAGGCAATGATCTGTAAGAAAAACAAAACAGAAGCCGTAGCTAATTTACCCTCATTTGAAAGATTTGCAAATCTCTGGTATGGAAATGCAGTTGTGAAAGAAGAAATGAAAAATTCAGAGTAGAGAGGAACAGAAACCAGCAAGAAACAAAAAATAATGTGAGGCAGCATTTTAATGATTTTTTAAAATGATAAAATGCTGATTGATCCTCAGAAAAGAGGTTTTTAAAAATCACAAATTACCTGACTAAATGACAATAATAACATAGTTTGCATGTTCTCCCTGTGCATGCGTAGGTTCTCTCCATGTCTCAGGTAGGGTCCTTTCTGAATGGAGTGTATATGTTCATGTGCATGTGTGGGTTCTTTGACTTAATCTCAGCCCAAAAGCATGCTTCTCAGGATTTAGAGAAAACAGTCATTGACAGTCTCTTGGCTCTTGCAGGTAAAATTGGATTCTTTGGCCCCACATCTGCCAAATCCTTTAAGAAATTCTCCCCATTTTATTGTCTCCAAGCTGATGGTTTGGCCTCCACTGTTTACAGTTCTGGCACATTTAAAGCAGACAGCTTTTTTGCTCTTGCCATTGGATAATCATGACAGTTGGAATAATTCAAAGTGAATTCCATTAGCTGCCACATTTACACACTAAAGTTGAGTTTTTCTTGCAAAATTCAGGCTTGGTTTTGGCTATGCCAGTTAGGCTTGTATAGCATTGTCGATTAACATGGAAATTCAAAGTATTCAATTCAAAAATAGAAAACCTGATCTCAAAACACTTAAAAGCCTTGCAGAAAAAAATTTAAATGAAAAAATTGTTAGAACTATAAATTTACAGTCATTTTTACTATTTTTCAAGGCTGCACTTTTAAAAGAGGGAATTGTCCAATGAGCTGTTTCCAAACGAAATGTCTTTTTGTTTTACACTTGTGTAAACAAAATGACAAATAAAATCTGTCTAAGTCTAAGAAAAAAAAGGAAATGGAGAATTATTCATTAATAATTATTAATTATTTTTCTTAGGCCTGTCCCGAGCCAATATTGATATCGGAGATCAGTTTTATAAGCAACTCATAGAAACATTTTTGTATTTCTCCTTTTGTTTAAAGTTTATATAACATTTTGATGAATGAAAAAATGGGTCATTTGTTCTCATACCTGATGCTGTTAAGCACTGTTCTCTGATTGAGAAATGTCACACTAAATAATAAGTCATAAAGGTATATATTACTCGTACTGATATCGTATCGAGTCAATATTGGTATCTGTCAATACTTATCGTTCCATGCATGTTTTTTTTAGATAAACTAAAAAAATAAGATGATGTTGTTAATAATAATAATGTATTGATTCTTTTCTTCATTTCCAGGAAGAAGGCATTGAAGTACCTGGAGCCTTGGCCTCTGGTCCCAGTGCTTTCATTCCCGCAAAAGAGGCATTAAGCTCTGGTCATTTTAGACTAAAATCATAGTAATTTGTCACTTTTACAAAAATGACACAATACATACTTTTAAGTTTGTCAGCCTTGAGAAAACATTAAATTTAATTGACATTTGTAATTTAAATACAAGTGACAAATATTTACTTCCAAAACCAGAGTGTAAAAGTGAAAGCAAAGTCACTTAACCAAAAGATAACACATCAGGAGGCAATTCAAACACATAAAAGACGCCTTATCTTAAATAAAAAAATTTTTTTGCATTTTTTATAGATAACCTAAAAAATAAGATAATAATACTAATAATAATCATAATAATAATAATAATAATAATAATAATAATAATAATAATAATAATAATAATAATAATAATAATAATAATAGTAATAATAATAAAATATGAACTGGAGCGGCATTCTTAATTTTTATTTATTTATTATTTTTTTTTTGCGGCAATTTTTTTATGTATTTATTTTATTTATTTATTTATTATTTTTTTGCTGCAACTTTTTTTGAAAGTTTCCGTAACATTATGGTGACGTCACACTTTTGGCTCCCTAGCAGGAACAGGCAGGATTAACTCGACTCTTTTTGTTTGATAATTATTCATAGTCATATGTTTTGATGGGTGATTCATTTTCATCGAAAGCGTGGTCTCCTCGTTTTTTATGAACACGTATTTCTCTTTCTAAGCGCTGTTTGCATCACCTGCTAGCAGATATCCTACAAGCTAACTAGCTAACCGGAAAGTCAGGTAGCCTGGGAGAGAGAGAGGGGGGGTGGGCTCCATGGTTCTGGCTGTTCTCCGGTTCATTCATCACACTGTCAGTTTGTGTAGCTGTTGATCTCTGGTTGAATTTAAAACATCTGACGGATGCTCGAGTATTTCACGGCGAATTAAACTAATGTTTCATTCAAACCATCTCAGACGGCTACCGTTACTGTAGGCTGGGCTAGCTTAGTTGTATTCAGGGAGTACAGGTAACCTCAGCTCTGGTTCACCGGGTGCTACCGGGACATGGCCAGCAGCTCCGCACCCGGCTTCGCTTTCCAGGCTAATGGAAGCGAAAACCCGAGTCAGGCACCGGACACTGGAGGCTCATCTCGTTACCGCTCTGATTCGGAATCCGAAATATATCCGACGGCGAAGAGCTTATCTCGGCTATGCAGCAGGGATAGAGATGAGAGGGCCGCGGCCCTGGAGGAGCTGAGCCAGAAGGTTCTGGTCTGTTTAGGACTGGATCGACCCGGTTCTGCTCGGCTGAGTAAACAAACGCTTCTTCATCTGCTTCGGCTCTCTAGATCTTGCCCGCTTCAGGAGGTTCGTATGAGAGCAAGCGAGCTTCTTTGCACCGCACAGGTAATGTTGATATTAATAAAAAAAACATCTTTATTTGCTTCATATTGAGGCGACGGGCTTAGATTATGTAGCTTTTCTGTAAATAAGAATGTTGGACTTTTATTGTTTTGATCCTGTAATCTTTAACAATCAAAACAATCATCATATATCAGCTGGAGATGGTTCTGATTACCAGCAGACTGTAGGTTATTTCATCAGACACTGTGGTGAAGGTGATGCAAGCTCCTGCTGCTGTGAGCACAAACAGCAGGCTGGACACGCCCCCTCCTGGTGTCCTGATAAACATCCAGCATGCAGGCACACCCCCCCAGTCCTGAAACAGCCCTCTAGTCACTGTAGACCTCGGTGCATTTTTACATGTTGTTGGAAACGAAAAGGAACTTGATTTGAAGCATTTATCTCTCATGTTCAGATGTCGGTGAGTTTTATTTTTATGCGGATTGTCTGGCTTTTTATTTATTTATTTTTTTAAACTCCTTGTTATGAAACCTGTCTCCAATTATAGTATGGCTGCTGCAGTCTTGTGGTTTTAGGTTTCATAGTTATTTTTACTAAAATATGACCTAAGCTGAAAATATACAAGATGTTTATGATTAGCAGTAAATGCAAAGTGGTCTGGTCATGTAGTAAAACTAGCAATCTGACCCTATTTACTTTCCAGTCTACTAAAATGGATGAATTTCGTTTATTATTTATCAAAAAAAGCAAATGATGCTTGGATCAGTTGGGAGAATTCTAAATGTATTGATTCTTTTCTTCATTTCCAGGAAGAAGGCATTGAAGTACCTCGAGCCTTGGCCTCTGGTCCCAGTGCTTTCATTCCTGCAAAAGAGGTATTAAGCTCTGGGCATTTTAGATATCTAAAATATTATACACACTTTTAAGTTTGTCAGCCTTGTGAAAACATTTGTTTTTTTCTATATATGATTTACCTTAGTTTTGCCGCTTTTCTTTCTAGCACAGGTACTGCAGTAGATAAGGCAATTTAAAGGCAACACACAAAACATCAAACACCTAAGGTCTACAAAGCAAAAAAGATGCAATTTAGGTTTGATTAAGGTATTAAGGTATAAACCAACAGAACATGACGGAATAACAAGAACGTGCAAATTCATGCATGCAAAGATAAGCTAATAAATAAATATATAAAGAGCAAAAACATGTTTTTAATCGATGCAGTTATAAACCAAGACTTTTGGTACTTTTTAACAAATACAAATCCGATTTTTCCGTGTTTGATCTGCCGACCAGCAATCAGAGCGGATTCACAGAAACCTAGCTGTCTGATTACATTCAGTTGTTTCTAGACAGGTGTATTTAAATATTTTAAGAGTACAAGCACTTATAGTTTTGGTTTGAATTATGATCCATTAATTGTGCTGATGTGGCAGAAAAAGGCACAGTTTAACCTTTGTTTTTCTTTTTAGACTTAGACAAGTTTTATTTTATCATTTTGTATAAACAAGTGTATACAAAAAGAAATTTCATTTAAAACAGCTCTCGACAATTTATTTTTTAAAGTGCAGCCTTAAAGAACAGTAATAAATACATACAAAAATAGTAATATAAATATATGAATATATATTTATAGTTCTAACATAAATTTATTTATTTTTTTTAAATGTTTTTTTTACCATCCATGTCTTGGCATTGTTTAGATTCAGTCGGATTGGCAGCGGCCTCTTTGATTAATGATCAACACATGAACGAACAGGTATAGGACTCAGCAGGCACAGAAACAGTGAGGCCTTTTCTGATGCAACTCTGCAGGATGAGCTGCATTAAGGAGTAGAAGATGCAATGCTAGAGTCATGTTGCCAAAGCTTAAATGCTAAGCTTAAATTAAATGTGACTCATGAAGATTTTCCACAGCAGAAAGGATTATGCGTGTTTTTGGTTCAATATATTTTCCTAATGAAATTTTTAAGATGAAATATTAAAGTCTTTAATAAAGTATTGGAAGAAAATGTTACATTTTAAATGCCTTTTAAACTGGAACCTCTTTTTGTGTTTTTCTTCATTTCAGATGTTTACAGAGGGGCCAAACCAGGACATGCTCATTGAGTCTTTTCTTTCACTGGGTCGGGTGGACCATCTCGCCATGGTCATGGCCCTCCACCCGTCCTATCTTAGCTGCTTCCTCAGGACCCAGCATGCTTTGTTTGAACTGGACGGTCCTTTGCCACGTGACTGGAGACATTACATTTCCATAATGGTAAGAAAATCTCTTTAAATGACTTGTTTGTTTATATTTAGAGTGAGATGCAAAGGCTTTTTAAAATGTCCTTGACTCGCTTGCAATCACCTGAATTTACAACACCTATAGTTAAGAAAACAAAACAGTCAGTTGTGTTGTCACTTGGATAAGCCAGTCTGTTTAGCTCTAACAAAGATCACGTAGTTTTCATTGTAAAGTATTATTTCAAAATCATCTCTTCTGAGTGCTTTATTTTCAGTGGAATCGTGAGCTTACTCAGTATAAAAAATAATAAAGAACTATAGAGCTGTATCTAAATATTTTTGCGGCAATTAGCATATTTCCCTGATGAGCTATAACTTAGTTATATGCTACATTTGTTTCCTTTTATGCTGCAGGTTTGGCGTGATTTGCTGTGTATATTTCAGACTAAACTATTTTACTGTTCGGTACCATAATTACTGGCACAAAAAATGTGAAAAGACATTGACCTCAAAATTGTTTGCTAAGAAAATTTCAAACTCGATATTGACATTCAGGATTATATTATATTTATTTATGTGGAAAAACACACCTTTATTAAACTTATCATGGAACATGCTTTCTCAACAGTCATAGTTTCCATGGTTGTTTGAGATATTATTATGTCATAATAACCTAAAAATCTAAAATTAACAATAGAAAATATGCAAACAACATTTATATTATATTTAGTATAGATACCATTCCAATTTAGTGTTGTATCCAAATAAACTTTTTAAGTATCAATACTTTTCAGAGTATCAATTATTTGAAAACCCTATTGTCTGCTGCATTTCACCATCTATGTTCTGGTGGAAGTTTTTATATTAGTGCTCAGAGTTTAGATGTGGACGAGTTCAGGCAAGGAGCTTTTTCTTCCTGGTGCCAATTCTGAACTTTTACAGATCAACACATATGTAAAGCAGATAAATCTGCTGTACATGAAAGACATGTGTTTTTTTTTTCTCCCAATTCTTTCCCTGTTGGTTCCATTCAAGCATCAATAAATATGAATCAGAGTAAAAGATAATCTTGTGTGATGTTTATTGTTGTGATGTGATTATCGATTCTTATAGGGAATTTTAGTTTTTTACATTTAAAGTTGTGATTTAATTTAAATTGACGACTGTTGTATTATAAAACTATTGTATTATTTCCTAAAAAGCCAGTGGAAATTGGCTCTTTCCATTCTTTCCATAAACATGTATCAACTTGTTGCCAACATAATCATTTAACCTGCTGTTGCACTTAACTTTAGAAATGTGATCCTGCTTTATCCATTACATACCTGATATTTGCTGGAATAAACACCTCTTTTTTTTCAATGGAAAGGCTGCTGTGTTTATTTTTAGTCTGATTTCCTGGGACCTTCCTTGTGTCTTTCAGGCTGCAGCCCGGCACCACTGTTCATACATGGTGCAGCAGCATAGCATGGCTTTCCTGGAAGCTGGAGGGGAGGAGAGCTGGCTCAGCGGCCTCGAGCACGCCCCCACTAAACTCCGCGGCCTCCAAACCCTCAACAAGCTGCTGGCACACCGACCCTGGCTCATCACGCAACAGCATATCCAGGTCAGACGCATCAGAAGCTCGCCCACTCAATCACTCACTGTCTCAAGTCAAGTTTTTTGCCGTATTTTGTTGGTAACAGTTGATAGTAAATTTTTTACTTGCATCCAAGCTCACTGACTCACTCTCCAACTTCAGCTTGAAGAAGATGGTGATTCATTCCCCTTACTGCGCTAATTCAGTCTAAAGCTGTTGCAAACATGTTTTTAATGACTTGATCCTCTGGTGTGATGCACTTGATTCTGGGATTTAGGCAGCTTTATCGGTCCTAAATTACCAACATTTCTTGAGCAGTCTGTCAACTCAGAGTTATTTTTATGGAAAATATAACACATGCTTTCAACTGATGATCAACTACATTTTTAAACAAAACTGCAAAATCATTTAGATTAAAAGAGGTTGTATAGTACCATGTGAACTATTTACTCAAAGAGAAATTTTAGAAAACCTATTAACACTTGTTTACTGTATTTATTACAGGCTTTTTTCTGTAAGGAAGCAACAGTGAATTTTAAGGTTAGCATAGATTAAAAAACCCTCAGAATTCTACCTAAAATTTTGCAAACTTTTCTTAAAAAATGCAACTTCCAAGTAAAAATTCTCACTATTGTTTACACTATTGTTAACTGCTGACCATACAAGCTGCACCAAGGAATATAACTGTCCAATTTTTGTTCTTTAAAATCGTACTGTAGAACAGTTTTAAAATGTCTCTGAGTATAATGGTACCCTCAAAACATATGTTAGGGTGATGCATGTCATGAAAGCTTTGAGGTCCACTAAACTAAAGCGGCACCCAATACTGTTTTCCATGATTTACACTGTAGTGTTTTTTTAAACCTGGTCCTAAAGGCTCACTGCTCTTCATTTTTTAGATGTTTACCAGCTTTCATGCTCCTGATATGAACTGATAGTAGATTAATGAAAGTTATTTATGTAATTATGGGTCTATGAATCCTGGATGACTGTCAGAGGGTGGTGCTGAAAGCACTGAATGTTCCCTTTGCACATGAGCAGTTCGAGTAATAATACCAACATAGTCGCACCTGTGACACCCTGGATGACCAGTCAGAAGCTGTATGCTGGTGGCGTCCAGGGCTCTGTTCCTACAGAATCTCGTAGATGCATTGATCCAGAGAGCCTGAGAATCTCTGGCGATCATCCGGGATTCATACAACCGTAGTTACATACGTAACTTTCGTTTTATTTCATTCCCACTGACCGCCAGAGGACGGTGCTGAAAACTCGGAATGACTTAAACCACCCATGTCACCAGGAATGCAGAACATATAAATCACTCAGAGGGCTCCGTTGAACCTGGCCCAGGGGATGTGGGCTGTCACGTTGACGCTGTAGAACCTGATGGATGTTCTGGGTGAAGCCCATGATGCTGCACCACATATGGCCTCCATCTTAACCTGCCTTGTAGCAGCCCTGGAAACAGAGATGTTCCTGGTAGAGTGGGCCTTCACATCGACCGGCATCGGGTGGCGTCCTACACTGTAGGCATGTTAGATGAAATCCATGATCCAGTGGGAGAGACTTTGTTTAGAAAGAGGACAGCCTCGCTTTGATACTCCATAGCACAAAAAAACCTAGTTTGAGTGTCTTACAGTTGTAGTGGCGGCGATGTAAGCCTTAAGCACCCGTACAGGGTACAACTCAGACCCCTCCTCAGTGGTACTAGACTGTAGTTGAAACCAAACTTAACGATTGTTTGCAATGTGAATGGGGCAACACCTTGGACACAAATTAAGTGTTGGGCCACAAGGTAACAGCAGAACAATTTAGATCCCATCAGAGACATGAGGGACTGACAGAAAGAGCAGATAGCTCACCAACCCTAAAAACTAAAACAATTGCTAACAAAAAGGCAGTCTTATATGAGAGGCACTTGAGGTCAGTTTGCACCTAGGGCTCGATAGGGGAAGAGCTCCAACCTTAAGGGTGGAAGTAGAACAACCGTTATCATGTAGAGACTGGAGAGACTACAGAACAGCGGGTACTGGGCAGGAAACTTAGTCCTTATTGCTGGCAAAGTACCACTTAGAAAATAGATGGCATCTGTTGTTGTATTGCTCTCAAGTCGAGGGTGGCCTAGCACTCAATATGGTGCCCCTGACAGAGTCTGAACAGTCACTTAGTCTATCTACAGCTGGAGACATTGAGGGTTGGGGTGCCAGCTGAGGCAGCAGATTCATGCCGGAAGATGCCATGGGACCCTATGGGTCATCAGCGCAAATGCCTGCAATGCTGCGTCACCTAATGCTACTTCCGCAGCAGGAAGCTGGCCAGCAAGACCGCATTGTATGTCTTACCTACCAAGTTTGTGGGCGCCGAACTTTAGAGCGCAGGGCCTTATGGGGTGACAATGGCAACAGAAGGTCCAACTGCTGGCATACAGTCAAGGCAAGTGTCCTACCATTGGTGACAGATGTGAAAATGTTCTCGGGTCCCACCAACAAGAATGCAACTCCAGTGATGGAGGGACAGAAAAGGGAGTAGGATCACCAACGAACAGCTTACATACCTTGCAAGTCCTCTTCAAGATTAACCTGTTGGAGCCCTAGGAGGGTGAAATTACCACAGCTCTAGTCAGTAGGGGACAAGGCGTCCAGCAACAGGGAACTGAGGAAAGTTTGGTCAAAAAAGCTCAAAAGCTGATGTCCTCAAATTTGGACTCCTTAAATATTAATTAATTAGTTGGCTGATGCGTAGCATAAATCTTCCCCTTTATTCATTGAGGGAATAGATAAATGTCCATATTCTACGACGCATTGTTGCTATCATTCTCAAAATAAAGAAATAGGTTTGTTTAAAAGATTGGCCTATTTTTTTGCTGTGCATCATATTTTTTTTAAAAGAAGGAACGTTTTTAGCATGCTTATCTAAAACTTTATCCCTTCAATCTTTGCAGGAGTTGGTGTGCGCCGGAGCAGAGCCGCGCTGGTCGCTCGCTGAGCTGATCCACGCTGTCATCCTGATGGCTCACACTCACTCTCTCTGCTCCTTTGTGTGGGGTTGCGGATTAAACCCAGAACCGGACCACATTGGGGGTCACACCTTCTGCCCTCCGTCGCCCAGTCACATTCCTCACAGCCCGGCTCATGAGGACGGCAGGCAGGAGGTGAGTCACGGTAATTCCCTCCAGCAGTCATGCAGGTCTCAGATGTCACTAGAAACACCGGTTCCACAAGAGCAACACACATTGCTTCAGTGTAGATAAACAACAGAGTGCTTTGATGTTCTGCAGCTGGCGGATGGAGCAGTGGAGGTGGAGGTACTGATGAAGAGAATGGTTGAGCTCCAGCAGCAGGAAGAGGAGTGCACACAGGAGGAGATGGTTACTCGATTTGAAAGGGAGAGGAGCGAGAGCATACCGACAGGTAGAAATCTGACTTTTTTTATTTTTACTGCCAGTCACTATTTTGGTTCCCCGACTCAACTTCTTGAACTGTGCTTGTGTAGCGGTGGTGAGGGGAGCTCCACCTGAGCTGGTGCTGAATCTAGTCGAGGAACCTGAGTTCAGATATGAGGACTTTGCCCCCAGAGGAGAGCAGTCACCACCCATCATGAGAGCACAGGTAGCTCATCGTTTTTATGTTTAGATGATTACTGAAATTTAGATACTAATATAAAAAAAAAAGCCTGATTTCATTCATGGTCTCTTGTTTTTATCTCAAATTTTTTTCCTGTGATGTTCTTGATCTTCAGGACTATTCGTGGGAGGACCACGGCTTCTCTCTGGTCCAGAGACTGCTCCCAGACATGGGCCAGTTCCTGGATGAGGAATTCCAGGTATTTGCACAATTCATCTATTAAATCCAAATGAATGAAACATCTCAGAAGGAAGAAGACACCTTATAAGATCTGCTTAAGGACTTGATTTTATAAACAGATGAAAAACAAAAATAAAAAAAGTTTGCTTATTCATTAAAATAATAATTTCAACAGAGCTGTAAAAGAAAAGTGTTTCTTTTGTTTGTGCATATGGCAGTACTTGCTAGTTCCTTCTTTTTCAGATATCCGTATTAAAGTTGCTAAATTGACAATAAAAAATCTTTCATTTCTTGTTTCAGGGAGTTTTACCAGGATTTGTTTGGTATTTGGCTGCAACACTTACCCAAAAAAAGATAGAAGCATCCAAAGTTATTAACTGTTGCCAGGATACTCTGTTATATAAACAGTCAGATTGAAGATTTTCCTTCTGCAGTTTGGATATTGTTTGCTGTAGTTTCTCCTACCTGGCTGGAACGGCGATGCAGGAGATTTCTTTATTGTTCTAATGTGATTCTTTCGGTAACAGACTAAAGCAGTTATCCCTATCAATTTTTTTAAAATGTGTCAAATCAAAAACTAACTTCTGTATATTTTTAAACTTTTATTGAGAGCAAAAAGCACTTCATCATTTTTAAGAGAACAGAATAAAATGAGGTAGATATGCTCCTAAAATCACAGGCTGGGTAGATAAAACATTGGTAAGAGCTGCTCACATCCACAGCTCAGGTTGGACTCTATAAAGAGAAAAAATCTTTAGTAGCATTCCCATATATCTGTTTTTTTTTATTAAATTATGGTAAAAAGAAAACCATACAAGGTTTAGTGTGTTGTGCCCTCTATTTAGCTCATGGAAAACCGCAAAAAACAGACAAACAGGAAGACTGTCATCTGCTCAGATGAGACAATCACTAAAGTTAGTGATACTTCTCTTTAGCAGTAACCAGAAAACTGTTTGGAGTTCATAGAAAGATGATTGAAACGAAACAGAGGAAATTCTTTCAAATATTTTGCAACCACCAAAGAAAAGCAAAACAAAAATTTACAACAAAATATAACCACAGAATTCGTGATAAAAATATAAGGAACTACAGCCTTTATTTGGATCTATCAGGTCACGTTATTAATGAGGCTGACCGCTCTGTATCTGGTGAAAACTAGTAATCACCATAAAGAGGGTGGCCTGGGTTAGCAAGGACAGCTAAGTCCTCCTCGTCTCTTATCCTGTAGAGCTGCAGAGGTTAAAATACTTCCTATAGTTTTGCTGCACATCTTTATTGCTATTAAGTCTCTTACAGGTTTTTAGTTTTTTTCAAAAGGCTGAAACTTTGGACTGTAGCTGAGCCCTTCCAGCAGAGGAATGTGGGCGGAATACAAATGAATGAATGAAAACCATTTTCAGACATAATTATCATTGTATTTTACGACAAAGAGACATGCACTGTTTTGAGCTGGTTTATCACAGAAAGATCCCATTTTAAAAATACGTTTGGTTTGTCATAGTTAGGCTGAAATAGTTATAACCTGTAAAATGAAAAAGAATGGTGTCGATATCGTTGCAGGGAACTATATATCGTTTACTTCCATATTTGCAGAAGTTTTTTATGTAAAAGCATCATTTTGAAATCATCTCAGTAGAATCAAGATTGCCCAATTATTCCTTGAAAATGTGGTGATGGAGGATGAAAAGGAAATAACATTTAATTATTATGCAACTCTGCAGGTTGTGAGCAACTTGACCTATCACAGGATGGCGATGCATGAAGGTGTCGACACATATACTCTGAGGAAAGCTCTGTGGAACTACATCCACTGCCTCTACGGCATACGGTTAGTGTCGGTTTGACCTCCACCTCCACCATATTCCCACTCTATCTATAACTTGTTTGTTTTTCTGCATCTACAGTTACGATGATTACGACTATGGCAGTGTGAATGTGTTACTGGAGCGCTCGCTGAAGGTTTTTGTCAAAACCGTGGCCTGCCACCCTGAGCAGACCACCGCACACATTTACCATGACTTCTGGAGGCACTTCAGACACTCCGAAAAGGTGAAGACACACGTCCAACCTGACCTCTGTCGTCACAAATCACTTGACATTTCGGCTTCTCTCTGGTATCTTCTTAACAAAGAATGAATCCCTGGCATTTCATGCGCTGCCTTCTTTTCCCTCTTTTAAATGTCATCAGAAAACGAAGCTTTACAGACAGTAGGTAAAAATATTTCACCCTTTTACCCAAAGGTAAATGACATGGCATTTTGTTTTCTTTTTTTCCTCACAGGTTCATGCCAACCTAATAGTGATGGAAGCTCGACTACAGGCTGCCCTGCTCTATACTTTACGAGCCATTACGTACTACATGAGATGACTCCTTTGCACACCGTCTTGCAGATGCTGAGCCAGCTGTGATGGATAAATTATACTCATACACTACGGTGAATGTTTGTGAATTCATGTCGTATCTTTCAGTGTTAAGGTTATTTTGTTTGATGCTGCTTTGCCACGTGGATGCATTTAAATGTTACCTCTTTTGCACTGAATACATCAGGATTTAAATCCCCTATGGAGCCTTGAGCGTTCTGATTCTTCTTGCACATGATTTTTAAGATTAGATACTGCATACCTGGTAATGCCAGGTCAGTTTGTTATCAAGGCCGGTTGGTAAATCATTGTTTGTCTGCAGTACTACAAGGCTAAGCTGCAACAAGAGTATCTTGTATTTTTTTAAGCAATAAAATTTACTTTGTACATAATCACATGTTTCTTTCTTTCATTTTCTTTCAAATGTCCTTAAAAGTCTGGAAACTTTTATCATTCTCCGTGTCTAATTATGGTTCAGCCATTTATCTTTTTGGTTTAACTGTTGACAGGAAACTGACGGATAAATGCACAGTCGATCAAAGATCATTCAACAGCTTTATATAATTCAGTAATTCAAAACAGCATTTGATTTAGAGGCCTTAGAAAGGCCAACATGTACCAGAGTTTTCTCTTTAGTTTGCATTTTACAAGTTTCTATTAAAATATACTGCGTAGAAATACGAATGCAGTACTTGTACAATCCCTTTTTTCATGAGCTGAACTCAAAACTAAGACTTTGCGGTGACACTTAAGGCCTGTTCTTCTCCAATACAGGTGTGTACCATAAAATTAGAATATGAATTTTGTTTTCTTTTTTAGGTACTTCCATTCAAAATGTGTGTAATAAATTCATTCACTATACACAGGCTGATGTATTTCAAGTGTAAATTTAGAGCAATTCAAAAAACTTATTTTTCAGAAATGATGGCTGACTGAAAAGTATGATTGTGAACGAGCATGCAAAGCACTAAATATCTGTTGTGGCTCCTTTTGCCTGGATTACAGCAGAAATGCTCAGTGGCATGTTGTCAGTCTCCCCCCCCCCCCAACTTTTATTGTCATTACACTGTCATAAGTACAAAGCGAGGAAATGAAATCTGCATATAACCCATCCCCTTGGGGAGCAGTGGGCTGCCATTGTGCGGCGCCGGGGGAGCAGAGTGGGGTTAAGAGCATGTTCAGGGACCCAGAGTGGTAGTCTGTGGGAGTGGGGCTCAAACTCACAACCGCAGGATTCCAAGCTCTATGCCCTAACCACTAGGCCACCACTCCTATGTGCACTGTCTGTGGCACTGGGCATTTGGCATATTGCATTTTCCTTTCTAAAGAAGCTGTGTTTGCTTGCCGAGAGCAGTGATGCCAAGGTCCTTAAACCAATTACTGATGCCACTGGTACTGTGCAGGTGTTAAGTGCTGTTGGGGAAATGAAATCTGTATCTCCATAAAGTAAGTTTGCTGCAGGGAGAATGAAGTGCTCTAAAACTTCCTGGTAGACGGCTGCATTGACCTTGGACCTTGGAAACATGATGGACCAACACCATCAAATGACACACCTCTCCAAACCAGCTCTGATGGTGGGAACTTCACACTGGACATCAAGAAACATGGATTCTGGGACTTTCTTTCTACAGATTCTGTGACCTTAATTTGTGATCACTCAGGCAACTGCAGCCCATTTAGTCTTTAGCCCAGACTTGATGTTTCTGACACAAGGAATGCAACAGCTGAAACCCATGTCTCGATTACATCAGTGAGTGGTGGTTCTTGAATCAGACCCCTGCTGCTGCTCACTCTTTGTGAATCTACCCCTCATTTTTAAATGTGTTTTGTTTCACAGACCTCTCCAGGGTGCTTTTATCCTTAAAGCTTGTACCATTTTTTTCCTGCCAGATCCTTTCCTTTCCTTCACCTGTCTATTAATGTGCTTGAACACAGCTCTGTGAACAGCCAGCCTCTTTAACAATGACCTTTTGTGTCTCGCCCTCCTTGTATTAGGTGTCATTGGTCATCTTTTGGACAACTGTTTGGTCAATGGTCTTCCCCATGATTGTGTAGCCTACAAACTACACTGAGAGTCAATCTAGTTGGCTGTAAAAGGTTGGATAATGCAAATGGTTAATGGCCGACATGCCCGATTTAAAGTATTCCACTTATACTGAATGGATAACGTGGGGTGAGTCTGCTGGCCATGCTAGAGCTGGAAAGTTCTTAGCTCCCAGGAGCTGAGAACAAATCCTTGCAACATAGGGTTGTTTATCACCATGCTGCAACATGAGGTGACGACTTTAGATCAGGTGTCTGCAATCTTTACACCCCAAAGAGCCATTTTCCCCCGGTCTGGCTAAGTAAAGTCTAGAGCTGCAAATATATCATATTTTAATAAAACACAACTTATTTTTGTTAAATACCCTCTATAGGAATTTTGTTACCATTTTAAACAACCAACAGTTGTTTAAAATATGTTTAAAATATGTAACTTTAAAATTATATAAAAACTGAACCAAACATATACGTATGTAAGATATGATTTGATGAAAAAAAGACAAGCGCACATCCTTAAAAATATTTCTATTTATTGTCATTCTGTAGTGAAAATTCAATCAAATATTGTTCATAAAACCCTACTAAAGCTTCTAAGATTGGTTTTTGTCATTATACTACATTACCTGGTTCTTCATATAATTTCAGGCCGCTGTTAAGAGCCATTGTAGAGGTTCCAAAGAGCCATTTGCGGCTGCAGAGCTGTAGGTTGCAGACCCGTGCTTTAGAATAAAAACACAACAATGGATCTCAGAATCTCATTGCAGTATCTGTGAGCTTTCCTAATGCAATCATTTGACTGGCATCCATTGTCCATAACAAACATCTGCACATACCATGACTCCACCTACAACATGAGCTAAGATTGATGTAGTTTAATGACAGCAGTTGAACTGCAGACTCTGAAAGGCAAATGAAAGCATCAGATGATTTTCCCTGAGACTGTTTATGATAAATTATTTAAAACTTATTTGTCTAATCTTGGAGGTAAAGATGTTAGATGTTGGTCTGTCGTTGTGAGGCCAGTTGGATGTACCACCAAATTCTCTGACTTTTGGTAGAGAAATTAGCTATCAATTCCAGGCGGACCTTCCTCTTGTCATGATGCAAATTTGTGTTTATTATGCTATATAGGATGAATAAACTAAGCAGGGTTGAAAAAAAATGTGTCTGGAAAATATTAGGATCTTTATCCATTGCTACAGATTATTACAAAAAAGTATTTTACCTCTTCATTATTATATGCTGTGACACTCTAACACCACAAGGTGGCAGCAAAGATCCTTCCACATGCTGATATAGCGGATTTCTGTGAACCAGATGTTCAATTGTAAATGTATACTGTATGTGTATCTAGAGTTATCAATGACCAATTTTGCCATAATGGAATTGACTCAATGGGACAAGAGACAAAAACGTATGCTATTCTAAAGTAGGTAGTTTTAGATAAGAATAATTTTATAAAAGTCAATAATTTGTGCATGTTTTTTTTTTAACGCGGATGTAACACATTTCATTCAATCTCCTTCCTGTCTTTTGCTGTAGGTCAAAAGTGTCGCATCTGAGCTCCAACAGATCAACCAGACATTAAGGCTGATTCTGCATGGATGTCAATTAAAAGGTGTGATATCGATAGAAAATAATCACATACATTCCTTGGTAAGTTTACACTTTGACATAAATTAGATCACTCTGAGTTTATCTATTTGAAAATAGCCGATACAATGCCGTCATTCTTGAGCAATTCCGGTGTTAATTACTTCAGGCATTACGACTTTCCTTAATTGTTATTTTAGTTGCGCAGTTTCGCTCCTGGATGGTAGATAACGGTTTCGTTAGAAATTGTATTTAAGGTTTTTGTTTCCGCTCATTTAAGTGTTCGCGGACCCGTGGCACGCGCATCGCCCTGTGGGCTGGTCCGCTCTTAGCGCGCGCTCCCTTCTTCTCTCACTTAGTTCTGTTCTCTGAAGCAGCGCGCGACTTTTCTCCTCGCGCCCCTGAGGTGTCCAGCCGCACACACTCGGATTCACAGCGTCCGCTCCTGTCTCTGGTATGTACAGATTAAGTTCATTTAAGAACTTATTTCTCTTTGTAGGTATTATAAACTTTACAGCAGACCAGGTTTATTTTTTGCCATGTATATATATATATATATCTATAT